AAAACCTCGTAACCCATATATGAATAACAGGAATGAATGCATCTCAATAACCGATGGTTTCTTGCCATACATTCCACTATGTGAGCTCCGATTAAATGGACGTAACAACCTGCACGTACGCACCATGGTGGGAGCGCAGTGATCGGTCAGTCTCATTTCTTACTATATTCTGGCGCGGAGAGGCTAAGGGTGGTGGTGAAGCCAAGGTGAGTGACCAATGTTGGATTCGACTCGGATTGCACCTTTTGCTCGAGTTGCTACTAGTTAGGAGTGAGTGAGCGTTAAGTAGGATAAGTTTCATTTGAGAATTTTCGAAATGCTTCCTTCAGGCCTTGAAGACGACGAGCTAGTCGAAACGTCGGCAATAAACGCTTCACTATAAAAAACCTGTTTGGCACAGAAAAACTTTCAATTATCTGGACATGCCAAGGTTTCAAGAAAGGCGAACTTGGACATATCGAGTTTGTATTTGACACGGACGGACGTGTGACGTTAAGTCGTGTGTTTAGACGCGAACTACGTCTGAGCACGATTTAAAGGCGGATTTCACAATGAAAAAGTAGCTTACTCCTACTATATATAATTCGCTAAGTATGTGTGTGTGTTTGTCACGGAACTGATAACGACTGATAATAGCTGATAAGAGGGGCTAGAAAGCGAGCATCGCCAATTTCGTTTTGTCGTTCATATTGGTACTAGAGCGTCTATACTTACAAGTGTTATGTGGGGTGGTCCCGGGACATTGGTGGTACATGAATGAAAGCGATAGCAACTGATAAGGGCTGATAAGCGCGTCAGAACGCAAAAGTCGTCGATTCCGTTACCCAGCTCGCGTTGACACTAGAGCGTCCATACTTACAAGTGTTATGTGGGGTGGGGGGACATTGTTGGTGGGTGATTGAAAGTGATACAACTGATAAGGGCTGATAAGGCGCGTCAGAACGCAAAAGTCGTCGATTCCGTTACGTAGCTCGCGTTGACACTAGAGCGTCCCTACTTACAAATTCTATTTGTAGTGGTACGTGCACATTGTATCGATATGACCAGCTTACTTAATAGCAGTCGATTGCATAAACTCAATCAAGTCTTCAGCAAATGATAATTTCCTATCAAGAAAGCCCAAACTCATTAAACCGCTAATCCTTTCGGGGTTCTAAATAATGGTGAATGTAAATAAATGATAAGC